GGGGGGGGGGGGGGGGGGGGGGGGGGGGGGGGGGGGGGGGGGGGGCGTTGGGGGAGATTGCATGCTCATGAACATGAGGCAGGGCAAAATGTTAGCCACCACTGACCTATAGTGTCAAAAATCAAGAATTTTTCAAATGTACAGAATTCTGTAAACAGTTTTGTCTGCTCAACACAAGGGAACAGTTTTCATTTGGAACATTTGGTTGCAGTCTAATATTCCACATTCACTATTAACCAGCAGAATTAGAACATCTTTATTTGCAATGGTTTTTATCAATACTAATTACATGTTTTTTTTAAAAAAGCATGTAAAATCTTGTTTGAACTAAAGTAGGGAAACAAGCAAGCTTATTTCAGTATTTACATCATGTAATAATTTATATTACTTTTATTGCAAATGCAAAAGAATTCTTACATAAGCAACCTATTCCCAAAGGATTAACAAACTTTACACAGGAACAGCCAGTCAAGAAAGCTCACCAATGCAAATTAAGCTTGGAAATCATCATCATGATCCAGGTCTAAATTTAAAGCAAGAAATAATGTACGTGTAAATGTGGACATAACTAGAGCATTCCAGTGTGAACAGTACAAGATATGTTCATGGATGAGTCATTTGTCCTACAGTAAATAAATTGGTTAATAAGGCCCCAATCCCCAACCAAGTAAGACAACTTCCTTTAGACTCTTAATATGATTAACATAATCAAACTGTAAATCACAAAGCTAGTATGCCATTTCATATGATTAAATGACATAGCTTTATCAAAAGGGAACAGGAAATGGGCGTTGGTAGAAGTTACCCTGAACGCCCTTTCTATCTATGCTGCGAGAGAGCTCAGGATGGGTTGACTCCTTCCTATGACGTCATTTAGCTGAGTCTGTACTAAGATATAAAAGCCAGACCCCGGAAGTTACCCCAGCTTTGGCGAAGATACTTGATAGACTGAAAAGTGTCTCTGAAAGCACAAATGAATACAGAAATATGACTTACCCTCTCTCAACAAATCTGGGCTCTCTCGCAGCATAGATAGAAAGGGCGTTCAGGGTAACTTCTACCAACGCCTATTCTCCTCCATGCTGCATCGAGAGCCCAGGATGGGACATACCAAAGCTTGCATGTCCACGGGCGGGTCCTCGTCCGGTTCATCACACCAACTGTTGAACCACTCGTTGAAGCACCCGTCTGCCAAAGGCTGAAGTTGCCAAGGCAAAGGCATCCAGGCGGTAGTATCTGATGAAAGGAGACAGAGATGTCCATGTGACAGATCTCCTCCAAGGGTGCTTGGGTCGCCCAGGCAGCCGAAGTGGCCATGTTTCTGGTAGAGTGCGCCATCAGACTTCGAGGAACCAGAAGGCCGCAGTTTTGTAGGCCTGCTCAATGCAAGATCTGACCTACCTGCTAATAGTAGGAGAAGAGGCCTTGTGCCCCAAGTGAGAAGGGAAAAGGAAACAAACATGGCTTCTGACTTCCTGAAGGAGGAAGTGCGCTTAATGTATATTCTAAGAGTCCTTCTATGTCTAGCGTGTGTCACTGCTGCTCTAAGTCATGGTGCGGGAGGGGGCAGAAGCCAGGCAACATAATGTCCTGGGCCCTGTGGAACAGGTGTTAACCTTTGGAAGAAATGAGGGGTCCAAACTGAGGACAACCCTATCATTGTGAAAGGAACAAAGGTCCTGTCTGATGGAAAGAGCAGCAAGCTCGGATACCCGCCTGGCTGAAGTGATGGAACACTACCTTCAGAGTCAGGAAACGGAGAGACAATGTTCTAAGGGGTTCAAAGGGGGGCTTCATAAGGGCATTAAGGACCTCATCAAGATCCCAGGAAGGATACCTGTGAACCACTGGGGGTGCAGGTTGGAAGTCCCTCTTTCAAAAAAACTTCCTGACTGAAGGGTGATGGGATAAGGAAGGAAGCGAACCCCATGAAAGAACCGAGGAGAGGGCCTCAACCTGCCTGCGTAAGATGTTGGGAGCCAAACCTTTCTACAGATCATGCTGAAGGAATCTAAGAACCTCTGCCAACTGGGCTGAAGCAGGAGAGAGACCCTCCCTAAGGAACCCTCGGGAAGAGCCTTCCAGGTGGCATCATAGATGCGCCTTGTAGAAGGTTTGCGAGATGCCAAGATAGTGATGATGACCCTTTCAGGAAGATCAGCCACCCCTAGCCGCTGCCGCCCAAGTGCCACATGGTCAACTTGAGCCACAGGGGCTCCGGGTGGAGCAGAATCCCCTGATGAAGAGAGGTTAGATGGGCTGGGATCCTCCAAGGAGAAGCCCCCGATAGGTTGACCAGGTCTGCAAACCAGGGCGTCCTTGGCCAATAGGATGTCAGGAGGAGGAGCTCCGCTCGTTCCTCCAACATCTTCTGAATTACTGCCAGAATGATGGGAAGTGGGGGAAAGGCATAGAGGAGACTTTTGGGCCATCTGCACCAAAGAGCATTGGTCCCCTTAGCTCCCTGCAAGGAAACCTGGTGAAGAATCTGGTGACCTGGGTGATTTGAGGAGTGGAGAAGAGATCCACCTCCAGCATTCCGAATCTGAGGGAAAGGTCCCTGAATAGAGATGGAGGAATGGACCATTCTGCCTGGTCGACTAGGCTCCTGCTGAGCCAGTCGGCCTGGGAGTTGTCGATCCCGGAGATGTGGTCCGCCAAGATTGACAACAGGTGTTTCTCTGCCCATAACA